CGGAGGAATTTGTCGAGATGCTCAAAAAAGTGGTAGTCGGTTGGAGCGAGTTCAGTTGAGTGCTTTGGATGCGGCAGAGTTCCATAGCCAAGCTCGTTCAATTTATTAAGGGTGGTCTATGTGACATGGGAGCACGCGCTATCGTGGAGAATGATAGGCCCCTTCCTGTTCACCAATCCAGAGCTCATGAGCTGCAGCTTCTGAAGCATTTCGTCAATATCCTGGCAGTATCTTTCAGCTGTGACAGTTTCGCCCGGATCCAGAAAGCTATGACGAATTAAACCAGCCGCTGACCACCAAACTACCACCATGACCCTCTTCGAGACTTTCGTCGCTGTCACGGAATTTCGCGAACCATCGCTGTGCAGTATGTACACTTGTAGCTCCAGGACCAAGCCCTATGTTGACTTCTCGAGCGGTGTCCGCTACATTCCTGCCTAGCTTAAATTGGAAAAGGAATATGGTGCGAACTTGTCGTTTGTCCGTGTTTTTTCCAAGCTTTTGCTAAAGCTAGGAAGGCACTATGAGGCGAAGCTGATGCAACACTCAGAAAGAGCAAGAAATGCGCTTTCAAGTAGTATACTACATAACAGCATAGCAACGGAAAATAACTCAGAAAAGAGCGACTAAAAGTAGGCCGTCTAAAACGACAGAACTTTCTGAAACACCTAATAATATGGGCATGTTCGATTTCTGCACTTGTGTATTTTCGAGCCCATTTTCCCAAGAGGGGAGCATAGTTTGATTTTATCAGGTCAGCACTGCATAGCAAGAGAAATATGGTTAGACATTCTGCATCCAATTTCTTCTGGTACTTTTCTAATGTTGCTACAATACTGTGTGGCCTATCGTCTCCTTTGAAGGCACGGTAATAATGGTTCTGCGATGTCTCCTTGAGATGAATCTGTGGCCCCAGTGTATAATCACCTTGAGATGAATCTGTGGCCCCAGCGTATACCATATGAGGCGCCCTAGACCCGATGTCATGATGGTTCAAAAATTGTTTTGGCCGTATGCCACACCCCAAAACGGAGGAGTTCTAATGACGTTTTAAAGGCTGCGGTTATCGCAAGGGGGTAAATCCAGACCAGTCATGCCCATGGCGAGGGGTGAAGGCAGTTTTAGACATTTTTGACGTGATGGGGTCAGCTTTTTACGCAGTTGCAACTACTGAATCTCGTCCAAATACCATTTCCATGTCATTTCCGTCATTGTGATCTAGTACAACCTTTACATTTGCTTCTTTTGGTTAGGCTTATTTTCGGCCGACCTTCTGCCTTCTTCGCAACCGATGCACTACTCCTCATCAATACATCCGCTCCTTAACCTAAAAAGGATATCTCAAAATCCGTGAGCTGTGCCTTCAACTGCTGATTGCAATTTATGACGTGCTTTGGAATGGATATTGATTTTACGCGTGCATGTACATTATCTTTCCTACAGCCTACATAGATAAAGCATTACTAATTACGAATTCGTAAAAGGTATAGATGGAAGGTATGACCCTGAAGCGACTGTTCTTTGGGACTTTTCCTTCTTCTAGTCACTAAGGTGGCACATGTTGTGGTTGTTTCACGATTGTCAGCAGACTGACGACTACGACCACTGACTGGGAGCTGAGTGCGCTTGAACACGTGGCCGATGACTGCAAACCATGCAACGGCCAAGAGGTTGGTCTATCGAAAGGTCACATCGTAAACGGCCGTTGTGTACCCGTTCACAACTTGGGATAACTTCACTCGTTGGGTGCAGTACTTCTTATCGCCCAGAATAGTTTGGGTCATTGCAGTTGATTTTTGCCCGTATGCAACTCTACTCTATGGCCTAGTGTGGGTGACATCGACACGAAGAAGGGCAGAGCCAAATTCAGTCAAACGCCAACGAAACAGCAACAACACAAAGGGCACCCCTGTCGCTGCCTACCGGTACTCATGAAAACCAAAAACGCGAGTGTTACTTTCGTCCAACCTTTATTTACCAGTTTTCACCCTAGTTAAGCGCCTGGGAAATTGCCATTGGCGCATAAGTTTACGCTGGTCCATGGACTGGTGGTCCCACTTAGGTCCTTGACCTCCACCCACTCCATAAGTTTTGCATGGGGGCTATTTGTCACGTACAATTGTTCTGATTCTTTCTGAACGCGCCGTGATTTTTGCGTGAGAATGTCAAAGAGAATGTTGTGTTGTGATCAGTGGATTCACGAGGGGCACGTGATAACGCCAGTCTGGACCGTCCGCTCACCCCGCCATCGGTCGCCCGTACGGCCAGAATCGCCTACGTTGCATGTCTCTTTAGTTGACGGCCGTGCTCCTCCTTTTATTTGCGGTCACTTTCTTGACTTGATGTCCATTGTTTGGAAGATTCATTGCCATTGTTTTCCCACGAACTTCCTCAGGGAGTATGACCTCAATTTCGATTCATTGTGAGTTCTTAAATCTGCCAATCATGATGCAACTATGAAGAATGGCAATTTACTCGGAACTTTGTTGTTTCACCCAAAACGGATTGGATCTTCCCGAAATTCTTGTCTCCCATGAAAATATCGATCTGTTAATGATGGGGGGTCGGTGCTCAATCATCCTTTACGAATTTTTCTCTCCTTTGCAACACCTTGCTTTCTTCTCTCATTAAATGATCGCTGGCATCAGTTGTCATTCAATATTTTATGTGTTCTTACAGAAAATGTTTATGGATCGCGAAGCACTAATACATTTCATTGGAGGAGCCGTCGGAGGAACAGCAGGTGATCTTTTGTTGAACGTATTAATGGCAAGGCAATTCGTTTTATGATCTGTTTATTCTACCGCAGTAGTAGGCTTAAAGATCAGTCCTGGGGAATTAGTTTAAATTTGCTACAAGAGCTTAACACTATCATAGCTTTATAGAAGCTTAGAACAGGAAGCTTATGGGAGGGCAGGACGTGATTTATTCATACTCAATGTAGGTTTTGCTCGAGCATCTCACCACAATTTTTATTAAGTTGTCGTTATACTTGCCAGCATTTCCCGCTTATCACTTGCGGTTCCTTTCTGACGGCGAATTTGCACTTAGGTTAGATTACCCCCTGCTGAAAGTGCCACATTCTGGGCATCATGACAAAATGGCGTAAATTAGAGATGAATGGACGGTTTAGTAAGTAACTTGCGTTCTTATTGCGAGATAGTGGCGCAACTGCTTCTTTAAAGGGTAATATTAGAGAGCTAGATTCAGGAAATTCGCAAAGAAAGAGCGAGTTTGACTGAGAGTATGGGCGATCTTTTTGATATATTTAAATTTGTGAACTGCGGATATGTGAAAAAAATAGCTTTACGCCACCGGTTTTAACATTGTGAATGCTTTTTAAATATCTGACTTTCAGGTACTTGTATAACATGTCCATTGGAGGTGGTAAAAACAAGAATGCAATCCACTAAAGGAATAACACCCGTTGGGCCTTGCAGCAGTCAAGGTGGTCAGTGACGTTTGACTTCAATTTCGAGTTCTTCTTCAGAGATTGCTGAGGTTTCTCCAAACAAGTTGAAATAGAGTTGTCATTAAGTAAACACAACAAACTCTTTTGGTATAGGGTCTGCTCCAGCCCAGAGTCCGCCTCAAAGTGGAAGGTGATGGGAAGTGACCTTAGGTATAATATGAATGCTAGTCGTACTGCAACCCTTTCTTATTTTTCAGGCAATCATTCCGGAAGTTCTCCACCTTCCATACCTCCTAAAACGAGTGCCCCTCAGGGGCCAATGTCCTCAACCTACAAGCACTTTCTGGGTTGGTTCATTTGTTCTGGCTGTTTCCTTGAAATTTTCCGATACTGTGCATGTCTGATCTTCTGTAGAAACCTCTTCTGGTGGATGAATTGAACGATAATTTTGTTTAGAAACTAACCGCCGGTTGGGTATGGATTTTTTGGGAAGACTAGTTGGAAAATGTATGTTGTTTATCACTTTGAAATGTTTTTTTATCTTTGTTTTTGTTTCTCCAGGTGACGTTAGCCGAAACGGAATGTCTTTGGATTTGTCACGATTTGTGCAGTCCCAAGTGCATGATTCCTCGAATTCAACTAGAAGGCGGTTGAATATTTTTCGTTATTTCTCGTGGGTTGCATGTTATTTTGCTCTGTTCTGGTAGTGTTCGAGATTCAAGGCAGTAAGCATTCGTAAATAGCATAGTTTGCTTTTCTTGTCACACTATTCCTGCTCCTTCGTCTTTCCTTGCAATTCGTTGCCAGTAGAAGCTTCCGCACGAAAGGGATAATACAAGCTAACTTTATTCACAATCTTTTCTCATAGGTTGGGAACGCGAATAAATGGTGGGCAGCATGGACAGAGTTGTAGTTAACTGTTGTTACCGTCAACTACTTCCATATTTTTGGCTAGTCATGTTTTAATTGAGGGCTATTTGTTAATGAATGATCAACGAACTTACAAATTGGGTGTAGAAGTTATAAAAGTCTCTGAAGATGTAATGGGGATCAGATAAGACCTTCTTCTCTTAGGCTAACTTTGCTTGAAGCTGAGTTTTCTGAAAAACATTTTTTCGAATTCCCCATGTTGTTTCTGACAAAGATTTCATACATAAACTGAATTTTCCTGCCAATTTTTCTCAGTTAAGGCTGCCTACCATTCGGAATAAAGCCTTTTATTGGTGACGTTGTTGCATAGAGTTGCAAAAATTACAACTCACTTGCAAATGGGTTGTAATTTCTGCAATATGACGGGTTGCCCTCTCTCGTGCGTTTTAAATTTGCAAAGTTTTTGGCACAGTCATGACCTTTTGTTTCCCTTTTTAGATTTTCGCTTGTAATGTTTGGTATTCGGCCTTGAAATTCCTTCCACGCTGGCGTGATTTTTGCATTTTGCATAATTTTTTAGATACTTCATTTCAGTCACATAATCAAAAATGAAGGATATAGTGGATTATACAAAGGTTTACTTCCGAATCTCGTCGGTGTTGCCCCATCTAAGTGAGTCTTCGATAACTTTGTTTTGATTTTTTTGTTCTGCCAATAAGTTCTTGGTTTTTGCTTTTTTACTTTTCTATAAAAATTCGTTTCAGAGCTGTGTATTTCTATTCTTACTCGACAAGCAAACGGATCTGGAATGAATCGGGGCTTTTCGTTCCCAATAGCGCTTTAGTACACATGGTGAGCGCTGGTACGGCAGGTGATTTCACTCTTTTTTGTTCCATAGCCCATTTCATTCCTAGGTTTGTACCTCGCCATCTATTTTCCTTTGTTTTGAAATTGGGAGCGGTTCACGTGAGAAGTTACTGCTGGCGGCCGCCTCGTGATACTTGTCGCTGCATTGCGTCGATCATTTCTTTCGTCAACAATCGCACAATATTAATCGCACCGCCGCGATGCAGCGAATAGTTGACCGAGCAAAGAAGCGCATACCGATGTTCACCACATGTGTCTCACGTGTACATTTCGTTCAAATGAATAGGTACACATAGTGTCTAAGGTGACTGCATGTTAATGATATCTTCCACGTGGCACGCAGTTCTTAATGGGTGATGCATTTCCCAATTCAACATTATTTAATAGCATGTAGAAAGCTAGTATGAGCTAGTAAAAACAGTACGTGAGGTAGCTGTAATACTGAGTGACAATTTCCGAGTTAGAAAAAAATGTGCCAAAACTAATATAAGTGAGTGTTTTTTACTGACCTACGTTGTTCGTAGGTAGTGAAAATGCTGACTTTGAATCTGATTTCGGAAGCGAAGTAGGTGCTTAGCGTTTTCACCCAATTGTGGTCGTCGCTGATATGTGGTATGATCGTTTGATGTGCCCTTGCAAATGTGAACCGCTTTCTTTGCTGATAGTACATCGTCCATGATTACAAAGGACACTTTTGCTGGAATTTGTTTTCGACGCATGGATGCATTGATGCGAGATTATGTGCTTTGTTCCTATTTTCTGCTGGGATCCGCAGAAATAGTGTTTAAGAAGATATGCCGTGATATATCCTCGTTATAACTCAACTGAGTTCCTTCATAATCGCATTTATTTGAGCTCCCTTTTCGAGAGACCAATCAGTGAACCTTCGTGATTTCAAAATTTTTGCCAAAACAATTTGGAACGTTATTTCGCGTGCATAGCTTCCTTGATGGCCTGGCACGTGATGTAAGCCTTCCTTTTTTCTCAAAAGAAGACCTCAGCAGTTTGTTTGCCAGCTCGCTAGAAAGAGATGTGTCAAAAGTGATGGGCTAAGAAATGTGTACGCATAATAAAGCCACTGGGATACTGTGAGTTTTAAAAAAAGGATCAGCACCGGGATCAGATGAGATGATCAAGGGTGGCTCGAATAAATAGCTCTGGAAGTCTGATGGAGGGTTCGGGCAGGTACTCGGTGGTCTTGGGCGAACGCTGAGGTGACTGCCCAGAGGCAACCACATCAGTAGATCTTCTGCCAGTAAAAAATAGAACAAAGATCGTGGAGCGGCTTAAAGCTCGAAGAATGGTTTCTTCGAGGGTGATTTTTGTTCATCCAATCTCGTTTATTAAAGAAAAGCTTGTTGACAAACCAATTACTCATTATTTCTCCATAAGTTTTAAACAAGTTCGAAAGTTTACTCTTTTCATCGTCCATTCTTCTCCAACTCGTTTTTGAGGGCTAAAGGAGGCTGAGTCGTTTACGTGAAGTTTAATTTTACTCCATAATTTTCATCTTTCCTGTTATACTTTTATAACCACGATCATCCTCTGTTACCGTGTCAGATACTTACCTTTTTGCATGTTATACGCCGCTTGCATGCATATGTGTTTTACTTTGTTTTTCATAGTTGCATGGCTTGGTTAGCAAAAGAAAAAATGAAAAAAATTTCTAGTTATTTAATCATATTTGACGATCCGTCCACCTTTTATAGTGAAAGGCCGATAGGCCACTTGGTATGTGGCAACAATTCAAACAGGAAACTGGAGAGCATTTCTAGTGGCGAATACTCTATGGCCCCTTTTCACTTTTGCTATATGTTTATTGTATTTTTTATTTGAATTTTTCTGTATTCTGTATTTTTAAACATGCTTCTATCGAAAAGGTTGATCCAACTGCACCATGACCATCATTTTGCACCTCAATAAACAATAAGGAGAACGAATCAATGTGACCTAATGCTTTTGTGTTTTTGCCAAGGAAGATGGACCTTTTCTAATGGACTTCGTCTATATTGTCCTACATTGCTGGGTATCACCCAGATACCCTTTTTTCTAGGATTTTCAAGCTCTTACGATTTATCGCCTTCCATTCACAGGGAATTTCTCGATAATGGAAAGTCGGAAATGCACAGATTAACCTCGAACAGTTCAAAGTTTCTTGAAAAAAAAAACGAAATATGCAATGTGTTTAAATATATTTATGAGAAATTCTATTGCTTCTTGTATTATTGCATGGCTTTTCAACGTTCGTTCAATATTGGAAAATAGCGCCCATCTTCCCAATCCACAAGCAGCATTTAGGCTCTCCCTCGGTCCATGTTCGACCTGAACCTGACGCACCAGTTTGAGTGCTATGGTGGGTTCATGCCACGGCAATTTCTAGGTCATGTCAAGATTAATTACGCTTTGAGGCACTCCGATAGGCCAGCTCGATTTCGCTTTTTTCTCTTATCAGTAGCCATTGCTTGACGACGCCTTTGTTTTCACGGAGTGCATCTTTAATCAATTTGTCACCGGAAAGCTATGAAAACGATTTGTCTTTCATGGAGCTCTTCAAAGCAGATGAAACTGATGAATTCGGCCACGTTAGGATTATAACGATTGTAGCAACTGGCGAGTAATCGATGACGCGTTTTAAAGCGTCCCTAAAGAGTGTTATTATTGACACGACTTACGAACTTTGTGATGTGACCGCATTGCGCGAACTGTTGAGAGTCTAAGGCTAGGCAGTGGACCTCCTGAATTTGCTGATATTTTAATTTGTTGGTGTCTTGAGGTCAATAATTGAATAATTTCATCCAAAAGTATAAATAACAGTTACAAGATCAGCTACAAAATAAAATGGGAATGCCTGGATTAGTCACTTTATCAATTATTTGTATCAATTAGAAACGAATCTTTACCTTATGTTCTATTGCTTACAATCAAACAACCTGCTGAAAACCGAATTCTGCATAGTATATTATGAATTGCTTTATCTCAAATCTTTAAGTTCTTCGTATTCAACATTTCTCATTGCTACAGCCTCATGTATTTCAGTCAATTCATTTCATTCTGTAACTGATCTTGTGACTGTTATTCATACTCTTTTAGGTGTAATTATTCAATTATTGACCTCAAAAGACCCACAAGCGTCAAGGAAAACACGGTCGAGCGTTAACAAGAGTTTGTCACGAAATGATGCGAAGCACCGAGATTTTTTCTTCATTTTTCCCGGTGTTAATCGACTGTTAGAATTCCAGTAATCTTCGTTGTAACATCGTCTTGGGTGGTCTCTTATAAAGAATATGTCAACCACTTCAGATGTCGTTTAACAGTGAGACAGAATTTTCCCAACATACCTAGTGCAAGAAAGTTTTTATAAGTAGCTGAGGTTTGGGTGTCGGGTTAACGTACGTCAAGAAGTCAATATTTTGTCCAGGTTTCATAGTTTTCTTTTGCTCTAAGCCGCACCAAAAATGCGTGTCATATCCATGAAAAGGGTGTATCCATGATGAAGTTACAGCGAAAACACTCTCCCTTCGCTGAGGTTGCAAAGGTTTTGTTTTTTTTTTTTGTTCCGATATCTTGTGCTTATCTTCTCTCTACTCTACGGACATCGAAATGATGTCTTCCAGAGAAGGAAGCGGGGCTTTCTGAACTGCTTTTTAAAAATGCATCGTCCATTCCCCAGAGCGCCTCATTGGAACTGGTGTGAGCTTTCGAGGCAATTCTTGATTTTTTAGGTTTTGTGGCCGCGTCCGCTGTTAATCCCATATGGCTCGTGAAGACACGGTTACAGTTATATCAAGGAAAAAGTTCCATCCTCTCTATGATCCGCCGAGTTTACAAGCGTGAGGGTATTAGAGGTTTTTACAAGGTATTTTGTTGATTTTTTACGTAGTCCTTTTACATTATATCTTACTAACTCCTCATGTTTCAGGGTGTGACTGCCTCATATGCTGGGGTGTCAGAAACTGTGATACAATTTGTAATTTATGAACATCTGCGTGGCTTACTTCTTCGCCACCGCGGCCAAGATGCAGATAAGGAAAAAATTGTATGTTCAATTCTATTAATAATCGGCTATTTTTTGATTTACTGGTTATTACTAGACTTTCTTTTTTTTGCAGGATTTTCTTAACTTCATGGTTGCTGGTGGGTGCGCAAAGTTTATTGCATGTGTCATCGCGTATCCTCATGGTTCGGTTTCGTTTATAAGACCTAACTCTTTTTCACATGATTATTTATGAACATATATATATATATATATATATATTTTCAAGAAGTGGTCCGAACAAGACTTCGAGAAGAATCATCGGTTAAGCGTGGGTTCTTCCGAATCCTCTGCGACTTATACAAGGAGGGCGGTCGAGCTATGTATCGTGGCTTATCAGTTCAGGTTTGATGAAGACTATTTTCAGTCACTTTCTGCGAGGCACTGCATGTTTCTTATTCTGCGTGTCGTATTCAGATTCTCTTTTATATTCTTGAGTTAAGCGGTGTTGCGCTGTTTCTTTTTGAATTTACCTTTTGCCAACTTTTCTATCCGTTTACAGCTGATGCGTACGGTTCCAAATACGGCTATAACCATGGGGACCTACGAAATCGTCGTGTATATGTTGCATCACCTGTGAGCGGTTCAACATCTGTCAGATGCGTTCATTAACTCTTAGCTTATGTTTGTACAGTACTTGTTATGGACCTTGTCTTTCCTTCTCTCCATTTATTAGTTATATTATATACCTTTTTTGTTCCTACTGACCTTAGTGCTATAAGCGTCGATGCTTCGCGGCGAGAGGTTGTTATCAGTGATCTTTTTTAAGCAGTTATCCTAATATATTTCTACATTTACATTAAATCATGACAATGTTTTAGATTGTAGCAGATTAGAAAAAGAGAAAAAATCGAGTTAACTCCAGTTGCCTTTGATGTTAAGTTTGCCAAGCATGCATACCAGTTTCCGATAGCCTTTTTCACTTTTTTTTCGGAAAACGGCCCTTGTAATCTTCCTCATAGTATTGTCTTAATATTGAAATTAATCTTGTAAAGATGCTAATATTTTGTTTTCAGTCATTTTTGTATACAGGTATGTTGATGGTGTGTCTTATGCTCATACATTCTGTTTAAGCTCTTGTCATTCGTATTCTGTTATACTTTTAAACATTAGGCACCATGTTGTCGATACTTTGTTCATTATTAGGGATAAAACTGCCAAGTATTCTAAAAAGTGTTACTATCAAGTCAAGTAATGCTTACTTTGAAATCTTATCAGAGATTAGTAGTCGTTCTTTGGGAGGTGAAGACTGCGCCCAAAACACTTTATCATACAACCTTCGGGTAGACGGACTTGAAGCACGTCTTTTTAGGATGCACAACGAAGCTTAAGTGTATTTTTTCAACTCTATGATTATGTTCTCTCCGTTGGAACCATTTTATGTAAAACTCCTCGATACAACTACTATTTCTACTAAAGTTGGTGCATCTTTGATGGTTGACCACAGTAAACTGGTCGGTACCTCAGGAGGTATGAGCTAGATTACCCTGAGTGAGCGCTGATCTCGTAGACTCAAAATCACAACTGGGATCATAGACTCCTTGTGGGCCAATCTTTTTGAGAGTGTTTGTGCTTGGACCGTGCTCTCTTTTCCAAACCCAAATATGGCTTCTTTTGTTCAGTTTTTTTT